TTTTTTTTAATAAAAAAAAAGTAAAATTGGGGTAACTAAGTAAATTTCTACATAAGTTGGGTTGAAATACCTTTTGTTTTGAGTGCGTTTCATGGGTTGTATTTGGGCTGCTTAATCGTTTCATGGGTTGTATTTAGGCTTCTTAATGAGTGAGAATGAGCTATAAAAAATAATGGGTTAACTTGGGCTCCGCCCAAATTGACCTCTGAGCTAAAGTAGAAATGGCGTGGAGTAGCCACTATTTAAGACGATATTTATTTTTTATCCAGCAATTCTAATGTTGAGCAAAAATAGCCACTACTCTATTAAAATTAATATGAGAAGACATTTTTACCCTTTCTTCCTTTGCTTTTCTTCCCAAACCTATTACATACTTACGTTGTAACTGACGCAGCCTGAAGCGTCCCCATTATGTCAAAACAATTTGGGAGAAATAAGCGCTAAAATTATTATTTTAATTTTTTAGTAGCTACTATTCTTTCGTTGTATCATCAACAACATCAACTAATATAAATAATATGACACAGACAAAGGCTCTAAATTTGGAGAAAAGAGAACATGAATATTAATGTTCTTGCAGATTTGATGAAGAGATTTTTTTTTTCAATCAAAGCCACGGTGATTTCGTTCATACTATACGAGTAAACAAAGATTAACGGTTCAAACAATCAAGGCTCTTGATATCACATGTAAGCATAAACTTTAATTCATACCAGGAATCTTGAACAAGATAATCTTACATATAAGTTCAAAAGTTAAGGATATGTAGTCCTGAAGTCTTGAACTTAGAGTTACAAGTTCAAAAGTTAAGGAAAGGCGGTCCTTAATTTACAGTTACAAGTTCAAAAGTTAAGGACATGTAGTCCTTAACTTACAGTTATAAGTTCAAAAATTAAGGACAATATATCCTTAACTTAGACTTACAAGTTCAAAAGTTAAGGACATGTAGTCCTTAACTTACAGTTATAAGTTCAAAAATTAAGGACAATATATCCTTAACTTAGACTTACAAGTTCAAAAGTTAAGGACAGACAGTCCTTAACTTACAATTACAAGTTCAAAAGTTAAGGACACTTGGTCCTGAAGTTTGAGTTCCAAGTTTAAAAGTTAATGACACTTTGTCCTTAACTTACAGTTACAAGATCAAAAGTTAAGGACAATAGGTCCTTAACTTTGACTTACAAGTTCAAAAGTTAAGGACATTTTTTCCTCAACTTTGACTTACAAGTACAAAAGTTAAGGTCACTTGGTCCTGAAGTTTGAGTTCGAAGTTCAAAAGTTAAGGACACTTGGTCCTGAAGTAAGTTACAAGTTCAAAAGTTAAGGACATTTTTTCCTCAACTTTGACTTACAAGTACAAAAGTTAAGGTCACTTGGTCCTGAAGTTTGAGTTCGAAGTTCAAAAGTTAAGGACACTTGGTCCTGAAGTAAGTTACAAGTTCAAAAGTTAAGGACATGTAGTCCTGAAGTCCTGAACTTAGAGTTACAAGTTCAAAAGTTAAGGATATGTAGTCCTGAAGTCCTGAACTTAGAGTTCCAAGTTCAAAAGTTAAGGACATGTAGTCCTGAAGTTAAGTTCAAAAGTTAAGGACATGAACAGAAGGGTATTTTCGCCCGAACAGTTAAAGTTTATTAAAGCAGTGGCTAAAGACTAAAGACATTTTAAACAGTGGCTTAAAAGTAAATACATATGTTATTAGTGGCTAACCGTGCACTTCCCCGCTGCGCTAAAATGTTTGTAGCCCAACCCATTAAACTCTGGGCGAGTTGGGCGGGTTGAATAAGTTTGGGCTCAAATTGTCACCCCTAGTTACATCATTGCATAACAAGAGGATTGATTACAATAGTGGCTGAAGCTGATTTGAAGGTGTTTGTGTCTGCTGTCAATGAGGAATCAAGTACACCATAGAGGCTACTTCAAACCGCGGACAAAATCAAGCAGATTGTGAGCGAAAAAGGAGCAATGATTAAGCATTGCGACAGGAAAGGGAACAAAGTCGCAGATAGACTAGCGTCCATAAGTCATATCCATCTGCGGCATATAGTATTTCAGACTTTTCTGGATTACCATGACAAATAAGAGGGCTGCTTCAACTGGATAGATGAGAAATGGGTTCTTGTAGAATCAGACAAATTAAAGCTTCTAAGATACAATCTGAGCCACCTTGAGATGTTTCTTTAGCTAGTAGTCTGAGTAGAAGTCTTTTTTGTTTTCAGCATTATTTGACATCTAGTCACAGAGCTTATGTCCCCCTTTCCCAAATGTATCATATCATCCAGAAGTTAATTGCATATACAACACTAGGGGTTGTTTGGTAGGGTGTATAAGAATAATGCGGAATAAGGTGTATTAGTAATGCATGGATTAATAATGCATGAGTTAGTAGTGCAAGCATTAGTTATGCAAATATTATTTCTTATCTACTGTTTGGTGTGGTGTATTAAAATTATAATGCATTGCATAATTTTTAAGAAAAATAGTTGCTTATAAAAATGCTCTCCATATTCTGTAGCTTTAAGGGACTTTAAGGATAATTTTAAATGCATGCATTAAAGCCTTGGTATTACTAATGCCATGGTTTTCTATGCATTACTTATGCATAGGATAATGCCAAGTATGATGTATAACTAATACAAGTATTAGTTATACACAAGTTGAAAAAATATATCAAACAGGGTATTAATAATGCATAAAGCTAATGCTTGCATTATTTTTTCTAATACCTCCTACCAAACGACCCCTTACACACATAACCAAACATCACACATTACCAAACTCCTGTCTTTTTTTTTAGAATAACTGACCTTACTAAGCTCATGGAATATAGGAAATCCAACATATATCTGTACAACATTTATAATGATCCTATATTTATAAAATACTAGGATCTACTTGAACATAACAATGACGCCGGAGGCTGACTAAGTCATTACTGGATATTTATTGATTCAGACAGCATCATAGTATCCTCCAACTGTGATTTGTGCTCTGCTTATAGGAACTCCTCTCGTTGCTGATATTGCTTCATTCAATTTGCTTGCGTGGCGAACTACTTGCTTCATCCTCTGCAACCGCACATAACATATTATTTAGATTAGATCAACAATCAAAATCAATAGTAACACCTTATCTTTATATTATTTTCCATTTCGCAAACTAAACTCGTTCCAAAATAGTTGATATTTAAAAAAAAAATTCTGTTATCAAAATGAAATCAAAATGAAATGTGATTTGACTTAAAAAATTCTGTCAACATTGACTGTCAAAATTTGTCTCACCTTATCATCAGAAAAGATCTGGAACCGAAGCATCTGATTCTGCTGATTTTGCTTATGTTTTTGGCGATTACCAATGAAGCTGATGCAAATGGTAGCAGCAGCAGCAACCCCAAATGAGCAAATAGCACCAATCCCAGTCAAGCTCCAGTTCAATAGGTTTAATCCACCTCTGTTATCTTCATGAATTATCTCAGCTTCCATCTCCATTTTCTTGATCACTATATCTTTGTCAATTTCAATAACTTCACTTTTCTCCTCAAATGGAAAAGGGTACTCTTGATCAATTTGTGGCACAAAGGTCTTGTTACTTGACTTGGGTGACTCTACTTTCATGTCTCGTGTAAGTCTACTTTCAGTATCCTTCATTTTCTTGAAGAAAACTTGTGACAGTACTTGATCTGTTTCCATCATAGCTGCTGGAGCTTTGATCTTTTCAGAAATGGTTGATGGTAATATGTTGATCTCAAAAGGAACTTGAGTAGTGATGACTTCTTTAGAAACCTCATCATCATCATCATCATCATCATTATCATCATGTGTTTTCTGGATTCTTGGCTTTAGTTGAATTGAGAGTGGGATAAGTTGTTTTGGCACTCTAGGGTGGACTGTTGAGTCGACAAATTGACAAGGATTTGGAGTTGAACAACTAAAGTAATCATGGAAAACTCTATTGGAATCAGAAATAAATTTTCTTGAGAAAATCTTGTTGCCACCATCATCATGGATTTGAAGAAACCCATCCTCAGGAAGAACCTCCCACTCTTCAAGATCCATTTCTGTTGTTCACGTGAAAAGAAAAGGGGTAGGAATAGTGGGGTTGAAATAAAAATTTGTATTTATACGAGTATTAGTTATGGAGATCTAATTCTTTGGTGATGAATTATTGGAGTCAAGAAAGAGTGGTGGCTTTCATGAAGTTTAATTAGTGTGGAATTGCTATGAGATGTTGAGGGTGGTGTCTTGTTGGTCATGTAGGTGGAAGCTTATCCTTCAAGCTACACTGTGACAAACTAAGGGATGGTCCACATAGAGAGAAGCCCCCTTTAGTTGGACTACTGGATATTTTTTCAATATTTAAATGAACTATTTTATTATAATTTGATTACTTTAATGTCACTTTGGATAAAATTGAACCATAGTATTCACCAACTTTGGACTAAAATAATGCCTCTCAAAGTCCTTTAGTTGAATTCCTTCTTGTCTAATGTTCGGAGAGGAAGATAAAGGTGGTTTTGAGCTCCAAAATGGCAAATTTTAGGAGTTCCATACTTTTAACATTTATCATTTTCCTTATTTATTTAAGGGAAAAATGAAAAAAAAAATGCAGTTTCTTGCTGGAGTTTTCTTGGAATATATAAGTCTAAACTTGACAAAGTAAAACAAGTTTCAAGTCTTTCTCTGCTCCAAACCCAGCCCCCTCTCTCCAATGAAAGTTGAAGATTCAACTCTATACAAGTGTCCATTATTAGGTACTTTGACTGCCTTAAATACCCTAGGAAATAAGGTGACCCTAAAGCCTCAACATTTATATACAAAGGGGCCCTGGCCTATCTTCATTTAAATTTATACTCCTTCCATTTCTTTATCTGAATTAGTAAAAGGATAAAGATTTTGTGGGTCATAATATTTGTAAGGTCATAATGGCTTCTTTATTAAGGGTAAATAAAAAATTTAAAGTCGAACTATTTTTAAATATAAAATTATAATTTTTTTGAAACGGACTAATAAAAAAATATATCTTATAAATTTAAATAGATTGAGTAATATTATTCCTTTTTAAGTTTCAACAAAAAATGAAAGAAATTTATATTTTGGCCTAGCGATCCCAGCAAATAAAACAGGTAAAATTATGAGAGACCAAAATTAAGTTTAGCAGAGACAACAAATGTTAGGTGATTTATTTGCACCGACTTAAGTTTTAGTGGGTGAATTAATCGATAATTGTGCTAATAGAAAATACTCTCTCAGTCCCATTTTACGCGATCTTATTTGATGAGATGTAGAATTTAAGAAAGAAAGAAAGAAAAAAAAAGCTTTGAAGTTTCTGATCTGAAACAAGTCATAAATATTTATATGGTTATAAATTATCTCATTAAAAATAAAATAAATATTTTATGATAAAATTATATTTCAATATATAAAAAATATTATTGTTTAGAATATATTTTAAAAAAAATATATTGCATAAATTGAGATAAATGAAGTAACAATACTCTTCGTAATAAAAAAAAATGAAATAGAATTACTTGATTACAAATTTCTTTAGAAAGCTTTAGGAGCAATAGTGGACATCCACAATTAATTATATTTATAACAATATGAAATTAATCCCATTGCACTCAAAAGAAACTGCTAGAATCCTTTGTGTCATCTTACAAACAGGTCCAAATCAAGATGGTTGCATATTCTTTCTTACAAGAGCTAGCAAAGGGACATTAAGTGAAAGGTGGCCAGCTAATAAACGTGGAGCTAAGGCTAAAGAGAACGTTCAGTGACGCATGGCTACTGTGCATTGGACCACCTTATAGCAATTTCTACCTAATTGATTGGAAGGTGAAAGGGATTTTCATGAAGATGAAAAAGTGATAACACAGAAAAGTCTCAACCCTTCAGTTGCCTAGTTGGTTTGGAAGGTGGTCAGATTGACGTGAGATCGAATCCCCTTCAATATTTTTTGGGTTGAGCATATCGCACAAGGCTAGTGTAGTATGATTTACATTTTTTGTGTGGTTTGTAGGCTATTGCATACGGGGAGTTTACTAGTGCGCACAAAGTGCTCACCACAAAGTACTCACTTAAAGGGCAAAGGCTGTGACAAAGATTGTAGCGATTGAGGATCTCCCTCTTGCCAGAAAAAACCACAGAAAAGTCTCTATGAACTAACTTTTATATTTCTTTTTCATTTCTCTTACATTTTTCTTTGAAACGGTAATATTTCGGCTAGCTTTTAGTTATATTAATTAAAATACCAGTAAGATCTCTATATTTTTAATAAATATTTTGAGTTTGAGTCTTGAAATTGAAAAAAAATCTTAACAGTGATTGTTCAAGAAATTATACTGGATAGACTTTTTCTAAATTATAGTTTATATATTGACCTCGTTAAGCAACATTTTGGGAAATAGCTTCGCGCCAGAATTTTAAGCATGTTGATCGCCACAATTTTGAAGCATAGGAAATTCTAGCGATCACCAGATTTTCCATCTACAATGATCACCATATGATGTTAAGGAAAATTTTGCCCAACATGCATTAAAATTCTTGCGCAGAGAGCTTTTCTTCTAAAACTTCTACTGCTGCTGGTGTTCCGTCATATTTATGTTTTAATGTGTCCCTCACTATTGGGTTCTCCGCGGTGCGAATTCGAATTAATGGAGTCCAATGCTAATATCGAACACCAGATGGAGAAACAAAAAATATTGACTAAAATATGAAATGCCTATTTTTTTCTATAAAAATCACCTTAATCTTTTTCTTTACGATGTTGGGATTTAAATCTTAGACTTCCATGATCTATTTTAGCTTCAGTGATAGAATGTCTTTTTTCTCTAACTCAACCTTTTTATATTATTCAGTTGGCTTTATCTATTCAAAGTTCTAAGAAATTGAGCTAATATTACTTTGAAATAAAAGACATCTGTTCATAGTCTCCAATTTTTTTTTATGTTTCTATTATTCGGTTTAACACATCTCTATCACAATCAAACTATGAGGCATGAGGAGATTCAAAGCAAGATTGCGACATTTTCCAATATAATCGAGCCAATAAATAAGAGTAACCAAAGATTTTTTGGTAAACCGGTGAACCAAATGACCACGATAAAATATGAACCATTTATTTCTGAAGCTTTTTTTGACAGCATTTGAAAAGAGTATTGCACCATACAATTCGATTACGCCATGAATCAATTTGGAACAGAGGAGCAAGTTGATTAAAATATGCCCACATAGTGGAGTGGATGAGAAGTCAGAGCATTAAGCTCTTTGAAGAAATTAAATTTAAGTATTGATTTATTCAAGGTCAACGTCTGTTTTTTTTTCTTTCTCTTTTACCCAAAAAAAGAAACATATAGTTGAGCTTATCCACAAAAGTCACCTTCTGGATTAGCAAAGTAATCATTTCATAGTGTGTCATACAAAGTCGCAGACAACAAATATGTTTCATCTTCTGTCACACACACGATGACACGAAGTAGCAACGAAAAACTAATTCTATATCATGAGTCTTCACTACTAATACACAAGGGGTTGGGATCAAACCATTTTTTGCTGTCTATTTTACAAGAGAAATCTCCAATGCCACGATTGATATTCACCATTTTTCTTCTATTCCAACCCCACAAATCCCGTTTCATAGACTTACAACAACAACTGGTTCCATTGTGCATTTAAGTAGAACACGATTTGCAAATGCTGTAAGCAAGATTTACACTCTAACCTTCTTACTAGCCATTCTTCCGTAGCCCTGGATGCCTCGGTCCACAAGTTAAACAGCAGAAAATCTATAAAGGATGCATACTCTTACTGACAAACACCACAGGACACAAATTAAAGGGGAAGACCAGCATGATCTATAGATTCTCATTAAACGTCCAGGTCTCCTTTTGGCTTCTCTATCTCCCTTCGCTTTACTTCAAACCGGGGAGGTTTTCTTTTTAGTAACCTCAGAATTCCAACCCCTCCTCACAGCAACTATATACACAGTCAGAGATCTTTCTAAGCGCGGCTATCTAGAAGTTGATGATTCACCAAGGGAGACAGAAGCCAAAGATGAAGCCCACACGCGTGCACTCCTTGCACCATGGTGCAAGTTCCTGATCTTGCATTGTCTTAGCTTTGTCCAAAGCCCCTTCATATCTATCGCCTGAACAATCCGCCTCAAGATTTGGCCAGTTTCACCGAAGATGTCTAAATTTGGATTGGGTCTGTACCTCGTCCAAAAAGCTTTGATATGGTACATGAGTCTTTGGGCAACAATCCATATTACTCTTAAACAAAGGAATGCTACAGCAAATGACAAGTAAGGTTCTCGACTTAACATTTCATTGAGCGGCAAGGAGAGCTTGGACTCCGTTGCAAATCTTTTTTTCCTTAACACACCAGATTGATCAACATCAACAAACTGAATTGGTTCAAGTCCTGCATTCAAGACAACCAGAAGAGGAAATTAGACGTGGTAGGCAGGTCAAAGAAGCAGCTATAGAAGATTTTCACTTCAGTAGACATGGCGAAAAGAAGCTATTAACTGATCTCCTTGGACCCCAAAATTCCTCTTAATCTATATCTTGGAGAACATACATTGGTTCTCAGAATCATATCTACATGCCAAAATTAATTACTCCTTTATAAAGTTTTCTGGCAATTAGTTGAGAGAGGGAAAAGATTTTCACTTCTCCTAAATATGAGGAAATTTTATTCTACCTAGATTCAAGCGTGTATGACTTATACGGATAAGCCTTAACTATAACTAACCCCAATTTGGCCCAAAACCCCGATACTAATTTTTGCTTATTTAAGACAAGTACCTGTAGTTCTCCGGTAAAATTTTGAAAGTGAATCAAGATCTTTGGAATCATGAAACCACATCCTTGACGTTTGGTTAAAAATTAGTATCGCAGGCATGCTATGTATGCCATATCTTGAGAACAAGCTGCAACATGGATCATTAAAAAGCAGTTTAGTTAATAAAAGAAATTGCAAATATGTACCACTATCCATCCATGAATGATTTTGTTCTTGGAAAACTTAAGTGTTTCCCTGTGTTGGCCTGTTTTGAATATTTTCATGTTATTGAAAAAGAGGAAACTTCATTCCTCGTCTTTAAAAGAAATAAATGCTTCTCCAGACACACTACCCCCAGCAGATTTAGCAGTGAAACCACAAGATTCCCATCATATCAGAAGCAAAGATTTCACAATCATACTCCATTCCAGCAATTATGACAGCACGCTTTCTTTTTGACAAAGAAGAGTATTCTCTCACCTCGGCATGGCTGAAGATTGCTCAATGGCTAGGTGTTCAATTTGAGGATACATAGAACTTAAGGCTTCAAACATGAAATGAATTCTCCTTGAGAACGGGCACCAGGAAGCATAGAACAACGCTGAAGTATATGTACTCCATTGCCTGGAGGTCAGGGCTCTGTCAATGAAGTCTCCACTAACCTTAAAGTGACAAAGACATGAAAGGAGTACGTATTTAATCACTGTACTAGAGGAAAACTTAAAAGAGAACCATTGAAACATTAAGGCGAACATTCAAACTTGAGCAAGATAACCATAGGCTCATTTTCTACGTTGAAATCCAATAATAATAACTCCAATGAAGACAATGAATCAATTCAAAGAATGTGACAACTTTACAGAATCAGTTGCAAGCACACTAAGATGTTCTTTTTCCTTTCTGATCAGTACATTTAGATGCATCAATTATTCTACTCTGCGCAGCAAGGGGCTGCAAGAGAGAACGTGTTGCCCACATATTTCATGTGCAATGTGTGAAAAGTCCATGTGAAATTCAAGGTATTTCAACCTTAAAATACACGAGTATTAATCTGTCATTTTTACTGGATTAAAATGATCACCTCACTTGTGCAATACACATTAACTGCGCCAATTATCTTTGGAAATTTAAGGAATCAAACCAAGAATCCAGACTGAAACAAACCAGTGCGCTTCGAGGGTAGAAGTATAGCTTTAGAGATTTAAAATAAAAATGACTTATTACTTAGCTCGCTGGTGTAAAAGGTACGATGAACGTAGATTGAAAGACATTATTAGCTCTATACTAAACTGATACTCTTGTAATGGCAGATCCTTTTGTATTGACCAGCACAATCTTAGTGCTTGATTGAGCAAACAAAAAGTAAAACTCATGCCCATAAAACAATAAAGTTAAAGTTTTCCCCAGGGATCAAATAGTGTCTGGATAGAGAAACCCAGGTATGTGCAAATTTTTCTGAACAAGTTTAAATGGTTGAAGCTCAGAGTTTTATCATTGCATTGATAGCCTATAGAGTCAAACTTCATTCTTGCAATGAATATCAGAAATTTTTTCAGATGATGGTGCAAGACAAACAAGGGACTGATCCAACCTACCTGATTATTCAAGAAGAATTGACAAGAAGAAGACTACCACCAATGAGTTAAGGGACAGCTAGTTTGCTAAAAGTGTGACCACAGGAAGGGCAGAGGGGTTGGGAAAACTTCTCAAAGAACAGTTCAATTGAGATGTGAAACGAGACTCTGACATTCTTACCAGCTACTTCTTATATAATTGTCAAAATCAAAAATTAGTATCAACTTTATGGTATGTCATTTTAATTCAGTATGGCAAAGATACAGTATGATATTAGGGTAAACAACATCAATTAAACATCTGGCTTTTCAAATTTCAGCAGCAAGAGAATACGCTAGTTGTATGCAGAAATAATCCATTAACAGATCCCCCAGAGATTTATAGAGGTTGACGGTCAAAGGAGAAACCAAGATGTTGGAACTTGGTTTCATAAGAAGGCTATTCATGAATAATCATGGAGAGCATTTGCCAATCACTGGAGCAGCATAATCCTAGTTAACGGTCAATGCTGGATGCTTAAAATCTAGTATGAGATTCAAGCTTCCAGATGTTGACTAATAAACTATAAACTGGTGTTTCCTGTGTACCTTCTATTTCAAATTCCAATCATGTCCCCCCAACCCCAAC